AACAAGCAGGACTGGCCTAGGGGGAATTTTTAGTGGGGTTTTAAGAATAATTTTAAATTGACACAGGCCACATCAAATATTTCATTTTAATTAGGTTTTAAAGTGGGTATTTATATTTCTGTATTTGTTTTACCAGGCTGTCAGCCGCCCTGAGTCCGTAAGGAGAAGGGCGGGATAAAAATCCAAACAAATAAATAAATAAATAAATAAATGTCTTTGTGCAAAGTTTATTCCTCACATCCTTATAACATAACAGAAAATGTGCTGGGATGATCTTTCTAAATTTGTCTTACTTGAAACACCTGAGTTTTCCACGAGCTTGTCCAGGCCTCTCAATGTGCCTTTTTGCTCTTCGTTAGTCTTCTCTAAATCACTTTTGCACACTTGCCATTTTTATCAATTCTGGAGCCTAGAAAACTATAATTTCAACTGCTTTTGTCACCTCAGCTTAACACTCAGTATTGTATAAATATGATCTAATTGGACTAAAGTGTGCTCAATACTACAGCAATTCAAACTGTTATGTAGAGAGAATCACAATAATGCAAAATGTAATAGCAATATAGCAAAATTATCTGAATGTGAAGGGAAACTATTGGTCTGTCAGTTAATATAAAGCCTGCAGTTACCCATCCTTGCTTTGTAATAATGTCCCACAGCTTTACAAAGTCTGCCTACTTTTTCCTCTTCAGTTGCTTTACCTAATCAGAAGAAATGCCTTTTGAAAGCCAGGGAAGAAACAAAGAGGCTATATAGATAGACCTCACTTAGTGATCGCAATTGGGACCAGCAACTCCATTGCTAAGTGGTCACTATGTGAAACATCATGGGACTGCAATGAACTTACAACATCATTTTCCATATGGTTGTTAAGGGAGACATTATATGATCACATCAATGAAATTTTAATGCCAGTTTATCCATTGATTCTGCTTATCAGAAGTTAATTGTGAACTGCACAAATAGCAATCACAAGACTGTGGGATTCTGTGACAATTGTAAATGCCCACTGGTTGCAAAGTGCCTGAATTCATCAATCATGTATTTTGGGGGATGTTGTGGTGGTCATAAGTGCGAGAAAAAGTTATACAGTTACTTTTTCAGTGCCATCATAACTTTGAACAGTCGCTAAACGGGGCATTTTTAAGCAAAGTCTACCTGTATGTGGGAATTCTATTTCCCCACACACAAATGCACACACACACCAATGCTGACAAGAGATCCCACCACTTCTTGTTTCTGAATGAATTTCACCTGGAAATAATTCAACTTTACATTCACATCTGTTTCACACAGCATAGAAAGAGATATAATGTGAGAAATAAATATTTTCCTGTTTACTAGGAATAATAATCTACAGGGAAGACATTTTTTTCTAAAGTTAAAACTGTGTATATGTTCATATTTCATTAAGACAAAAAAAAAGCATTGACTAATACAGAGATTATACAAGAGAAGTTATCACCCTACTCTCATTAATTAATAGAGATCTGAACTAAATCAAATAAAATAAAGTAACAAGCAGGGAAGTCTTCTAACGAAGTCTAAATTACTCCTTGCCAAACAACAATTTTTAATTTATGTTTTGTTTTGTTTTCAGAAAGATAGCATATATTACCTGCAAACTGTATCCTAAGCAAAGTCTAGCCTTTATGCACACTGGATTGATATGCACTGCTGTCAAGAAATCCTTTAGGGCTTGTCTAGTGCCTTTGCTATGACCATATTCCAGGTATGCATTTCCTCGACCAATGTAGGCATCCAAAACAAAGGGATTGAGTTTAAGAACTTTAGAAAATGATTCCACAGCTTCTTCGTATTTCTGAAGTCTGAAATCAATGGACATTTAAAATGTTAGTGTTTTAACAGTGATTATGATGTTTTGTATATTGAGATGTGAGTATTTGAACAAGGAAACACGCAAGAGTGCAGAAAACCAAAGTCTAAATATAATTACAGCCACCTTCTCCCCCTATCCTTTGGTTTATTGATTATATATCATCAAGCTCCTTTTTTCAGCTCTCATTCAGTATTATTGTATTGGGCGGCATCAGAAGGAGATGAGATCAGTAGCAAAGCTAATCCATAGACTTCCTGAAAGAGGACTTGTCTTATTTAAACTGGAATTATTTCCTAATAATAAACAAATAAACAAGCTGCATTTCAGTTTATATTATAATTTATATTATAATTTAAAGATATAACTTCAAATTATTTCAGTCAATGAAATATTTGAATTAATTCAGTCAATGAAATATTGTGGGTTTTGTTTCCCATATTATTGTTTCAATCCAGGCTGTTGTGGTTTTGTTTTTTTTTTAGTTTTTAATTGTTTTTACTGCTTTTTGGCTTTGTACACTCCCCAAAGTCCATTGGAATTGGGTGGTTATTACAAAAATGAATGAATGAATGAATGAATGAATGAATGAATGAATGAATGAATGAATGAATCTATGCAAGATGATACGATTTTACATGCACTTACTCATTCTATTATATTCTACATGTTCTCTGTAAATCAAACCTCCTCAACCTAGTGCTTTCCAGATGAACTTAAAAATCAGAACATGATTAAAACATAAACCAAGCAATTTTTGTAGCAAATGAAAATGTACTTTTGTTCTTGTTCTCACAGAAAGAAGATTCACAATAAATGAGGTGGTGTTACCATTATCATGTTGTGAGAAATACAATAACGTAAGTACCTTGGGGGAAAAGTGCACTACTCAATTTCTCAAAATACAGTATTAAAAGGTATATAAGAAACATGCTGATTTCCTACTGTACTACCCTTTATGGCAGGGGTGTCAAACTCACAACGTCACATGACGTGTCGCAACATATTGCAACTTTTTTTCCATTGCCAACAATGGGGTGGGCGCAGTTTCGCCATGACGCATCCAGTGCAGGGCCGGCAGTTTGACACCGCTGCTTTATGGAATGCTGTTTCCAAATAACCATTAGAAATTGAACCAAACAGTGAAAATAGATTCAGAAAACACATCTGGCTTCTGGAGAACAAGGTAGACCTTTCTCTTTAATCGGGCTTCCCTAGCCTAGTGACCTTCAGATATGTTTCAGTGTAATAGTTGTCAATCCCAGACAGCATGATAACTATTTAGCTAATAGGAGAGATGGAAGTGGTAAATCAATAAAACCAAGCAACAGACTGAAGGCTGTCTCACGTCTGAGCTAGCCCCATCCTGCAGAGGAGAGAAATTGATGAAAACAGAAATTAATAGTTTGACTGTTTGAATTATGCCTCATGGCTTTTAGAAATGCTTATTCTAGTTCAGGATTGGGGAGTAAGGCATTTGGATGTCGTTGCAAGAAATAAAATGCCTTGGGCCATCACTGTTGCCTTCCTTTCTCCACATCTGCTGCATAAAACTTCTCTGTAACACAAGAGAACCAAACACATGTTCCCAAATCTTATTCAGCAGTGTTTAAGATTACCTGTGATAGCAAAGTCCAATAGCATTCAATAATTCTGTGTTTTTTTGTTCAATCATTGCCACTTCTGCAAAGTCCTAAAACATGGAAAGACACTACGTTAAATGTACTGTTTTTCAGAAGCTTAGCCATGCTTAACTTTGCAGCAAAAACAATAAAATTGATACCCATCTAGAAGTACCTATATTCTAAAAGCCACTACTGTATAGGTGAGAAAAAAATGTTCATTTCTTCAAGTAATGATTGCTTTCCTTTTTTCCCTTTTCATTAACTATCTTTTATATTGTAAGCAGCCTTAAGATGTATGATAGATAAGATAACCTTTATTGTCATTTTTATACTGAGGGCACAATGGCACACATCAAAAATGAAAATTAGTTGCCCGCTCTCAAAGTGAAACACATACATGACACACACCTAAACGTACTATGAACAATATATGTATAGACCCACACCCCTACATATACGTAGCAAATAAATATTAAATATTGTCCATCTTGAATGTATAACGCAAGGAGGAAGCTTGAGAGTTCGCAAGGTTAATGCTGTATGGAATGAAACTCTGGCTGAATCTTATAGATTATAAATCAAGTAATATGGACAAAAATAATAAAATGGATATTACACATGTGATTTTCTGACAATTGAACATTTTATCTCTAGTAAAGGCATGCATGTGTAGGCTCTAAAATTTAACAATATCTAAAAGCCCAAGATATTCCTTCAACCAATTTAATACATTTTGGACAAATTAATTTTAAACACTGATGATAATAGAATTGCATATTTATTTATTGCAAATTAATTATATGTTAAGAACTTCCTTTGTTATGGTTAGCTACATTTCTAAATGTATATGAACAGTTTAACCATGTCTGTAGGCAGCATTGTTTTGTTTCTTTTATCATTTTTCCTACTAGAGATTACAAAATATTTTCAAACAAATCCAAACTACAATGTAGAAACAAACGTATCTATAATATTAGGGGGAAAATACCTTTAATGCATAATCATAGCGTTTCATTTCTATATAAACCAGAGCACGATTTTTCAGCACTTTCAAGACAATGTCCTTGTTTGTTTCAAGACGAAGAACAGTCTCATAATCTATCAAACTCTAAAACAAACAGAATCCACAAAGTCATCTGTGAATTGGTGAAATAAAAAGCATAACTAATTTTTGTAAAGCATGAAATTATTTCCTGTTTCAAAAAAACCCTGCCAGAATCTTGAGCTGATTAAAAACCTGTATGCTTTTCAATGTAATAATAACATCAGGAATGTGTTTTTTTCTTTACATCTTCATTAGATTATAACTATGAATTTAGAGAAACAAAATCTTTATTATGGTTATAGATCAACATAGGAATTTTAAAATATTCAAGTTTAATGAAAGTATGATGCAAATGTCCATTCTTATAAATTTCATTTTAGCATTCATTTAAAAAAATAAGGATGTGTATTAAGATATGCTATAAATACAATGAATTTCCTGCTAGAAATTCATTAAAATATGCTTGTCTCAGACATGTCATACAACTTTTCAATAATGATGATGATGATGATGATGATGATAATAGAGTTGGAAGGGACCCTGGAGGTCTTCTAGTCCAACCCCCTGCTCAGGCAGGAAACCAATACCATTTCAGACAAATGGTTGTCCAGTCTCTTCTTAAAAACATCCAGTGTTGTAGCATTCAAAACTTCTGGAGGCAAGTTGTTCCACTGATTATTTGTTCTAACTGTCAGGAAATTTCTCCTTAGTTCTAGGTTGCTTTACTCCTTGATTAGTTTCCATCTGTTGCTTCTTGTCCTGCCTTCAGATGCTTTGGAGAATAGCTTGACTCCCTCTTCTTTGTGGCAGCCCCTGAGATATTGGAACACTGCTATCATGTACCTCCTTGTTGTTCTCTTCATTAAATTAGACATACACAATTCCAGCAACTGTTCTTTATGTTTTAACCTCCAGTCCTCTGATCATCTTTGTTGCTCTTCTCTGTACTCCTTCTAGAGCAGTGGTTCTCAACCTTTTTAATGCTGCGACCCCAACCGGTTGTAAGTCAAGGACTAAAGTGGTCGTAAGTCAAGGACTAAACCGGTCGTAAGTCGAGGACTACCCATCCGGTCGTAAGTCGAGGACTTTCCCTGCCCGGGAGCGCCGCGCATGCGTGGTTCCGCCCCCTGTGCCGGCCGAGGCGTAGCTGGCAAGCGGCAGAGACAGAGCAGGCCGACCACCAGCTGGCCCAGCCCAAGGGAGGTAAGGCACCCGCCGGAAAAGGGAAAAAATGGCGGACAAAAAAAATGGCGGACAAAAAAAATGTCGGACAGCCTTGCTTGGCGACCCCCATGAAATGGTCGATCGACCCCAAATGGGGTCCCGACCCACAGGTTGAGAACCACTGTTCTAGAGTCTCAACATCTTTTTTACATCGTGGTGACCAAACTGGATGCAGTATTCCAAGTGTGGCCTTACCAAGGTGTTATAAAGTGATATTAACACTTCACGTGATCTTGATTCTATCCCTCTGTTAATGCAGCCTAGCACTCCACTGGGAAGTTGAGAAAATAAAAGGGCCTTGATTTATTGTTCTAATGAATATCATGTACATCAAGATGCACCTTCTCTTAGTTGGAGAGCTGCTGTGAGAGATGACCAGGTGGAGCCTGAAGGTGGGGTCAAATGCATCATAAGTTTGGAATCATTATGCAGCCACAAGAGACCTAAGTCCAACCCACATGAATTCCATTGACTTTTATCTAGCGCCAATTTGTCTTGACCATTAGTAGGTCAGATTCTTGTTTATAGGTAGCATGTAATAAACTTTTAATGTTTTGAACTCAACTCCTGCTCCTGATTACTTGTGCCTGACACATACATCTGCCGTTGCATAGTAACCTGAGGGCCAACGTGAATAAAACCAACATAAAATGGGGAGTGGAGGGACATAGACATGTGTGTGTGTGTGTGTTGATGTGTACATATGTCTCTCCTCTCCCAATTTCATATTGGTTTTATTCACTTTTGAGAGGGATGTCTGTGTGTCTGTGTGTGTGTGCATGTGTGCATAATATACATTATGAAACAGACACAGATTCCCTCCTCTGTGCTCTCCTTTGTAGATAAATCACATCCCATCATCCACAAAAATTGCACTTTCTTATGGGGCTGTGTGACCAAGATCCAGTGGTAAGAGAAAGGGCTCTTTAAAAAAAAAAACAGCAGAAAATATGGAGGGGAAAAGATTGGGAACATGGAAGAAAAAACAAGGTATGGACTGAAAAGGAGACCCAGACAGAGGAAGACAGTGTCAGCATAGGGAACCCAGCAAGGATGCAGAAAGCCGGAAAAGTCTGAGACAGGAGGAGATTAGTGGAAAACCAAAGAAGCAAACTAAACAGACATAGAGTGACAAATATGCAGTGGAGAGTCACTGAGAAGGCCTACAGTATCAGGAAGGCGGGCTAGGAAACAGCAGAATGGAATGGTAAAACTCGGGGAGGCAGGGGGAGAAAGGCTGCAGTGATAGGGAAAGCAAGAGACCATTATGGGGCACTGAAGATTCCCCCTGTTGTACCAAAAACATCTTAAGAGTACACCTTTTTGTACATCTAACATGCAGGTTATCATGTGGTGCAAATTATTGGATTGGAGCTACTTAAAAATATGGACATGATCAGTAAGAATAAAAGAATAATATTTATATTCCGAGACAATAGATAGATGACTCAGATATGCAACTATTTTATCCTTTCCATCAGATTTAGTTGTCGAATGGAAAAAAAAAACAGTTGGAATAAGCCACACAAGTTTACAGGAGTCAAACCCTGCCCCTAGATCCACTATAAAATCTGAGTAAGACAGGAAAGCATGTTTGGAAGTACACATCCAGTGCCAAAGCAACTTAATGACAAATCACTGTTTAAGAAGAAACAAACCATTGGGTTGCTTGGGTTAAATTTGGATTATTGTATGTTTAATCCTGTATTCAGCTCTTGGAAGTCAGGGGGGGGAGGGGGGAAGGGGATTAGGGGACTGAAATTATAAAAATTGATGTATTTATATGTTATAGTTAAATAATAACTGTATTGAAAAGAGGAGATGCTCGGCTGGTACCCCAAACTGCACTCGAAGAGGCGGTTAAGAAGGGAGTGGGGATGTAGGAGGTGGAAAGGAGGAAGGTGGAGAGGTTGTGGGATGAGAGGGAGGAAGGACAGGAAAGTGGATGAGGGTGGAGGCAAGGCGGGGGCCGCCGAGCGTCTCCAAAAAAAAAAAAAAGGTATTGATCTGGATTATTTTTTATTGCTTGTGTATGTAAATGCATCATATTGGTATTTGTTGTTTAATTATAAAAATTAATAAAACTTTATTAAAAAAAAAAAAAGAAACAAACCATACATGTTCGTAGTCCTTCAATTGTTGAAACGCAATTGCTCTGTTATAATATGCCAAAGTGCACATCTTATCTAATTTTATAGCTTTAGTTAAATCTTCAACAGCATGCTTGTAAGTCTATCGAAAAAAGTGACATAATAGTAATAGCATTATTATTTCATCTACATAGAATAAGGTACCATCTTACAGTCTTTGTGAGGGATGTACACAAAACAGAAACAATGGAGGTGAATAAGGAAAAGCTGCCTTTGCCCTCACTTCTCCTCTTTAGCACTTCCCTCTCCTTTTCTCAGAATCCCCACTGGGCTTCAGCTGAAGTATAGCAGATCCAATAAGTCCACTTACTCACAGCCCTGATTTTTCCTGCACCTGCCTTTCTCTATCTTCTCTTTGTATGTGTGTGTGTGTGTGTGTGTGTGTGTGTGTGTGTGTTTCCATCTAACAACAACCATTTTACAATACAGAAGTCATGTTTTGTTAAAACTAATTTCAATATTGGTCTTTGAATCGAGATTTCACTTTCTTGTGAAAGTGATTTAAGATCTCATTACACAGCTAGTAATCACCTCTGATGTTTAAATATCCTTCTGTACTCATAAGACAACTGCGAAGCCTTCATTTATATATCCCAAATTAAAAGAGCAGTAGAGTAAGCATATTTACCCTGTTGTAAAATTTCAGTACTCCTCTGTAAAGATACCCTCTCACACTACAGGGCTCAATTTTGAGGGCTTCAGTGCAATTCATTATTGCTTTAGAGTATCTTCCTTTGCTACCGTAGTAAGCAGCACGACTTATGTAAGCCTTAACAGAAAAAAAACAACAACAAACTTACTGCAGAACACAATAGGAAGGAAATATCCAGAGACTTCTATGTTGTCTTACATAGGTTTCAAGCTTTAAATATTTATAAATAAGAATAAAACATTCCTTCTCTCTTTTTCCCTCCCTCCCTCCCCCACTCTCTCTCTCTCTCTCACACACACACACACACACAAACACACACTGAATACTTTATCTCACCCCTTAAATTATGTAATAGTTTCAATAAGATTGCTAACTGGAATGTACATACAAAATGTCAAAGCCCACATACAATTATCATTTGTTTGCTATCTCTTAAACCATAATAAATACATTATAGGCGCTTCTCTCTTGTTCTGAAAGATGGCTCTTTGCCCTTAGCCTCTAAATCCCAGAAGAGTCTTCTGACTCTCCGTATATCAAGTCTTCGTACTTCTGCTAGTTTAGATAAGCATATTGCTAAAAAAAATTATATCAATGATAGTTAACAAGACAGATTCCAAGCATATTTTTCCATGAATTGTTTTAATCCTTAGGAATATACAGTATGTACCACTGATCCCAATTTGCATGTAATGCCGATTTTTCAAGTAAGCCAGCAAATTATCATGATAGTTACAAAGGGTATATCATGTTCCTTGCATGTCTAGTTGGGAACAGACAACAGTGAATTTAGACAAGTGTGGCCTTGTCCTTGGTCATAGGTGCTTATTTCTAATTTGTTTCTTTCTCTGCAAATTACAGAGGGCAGCAATAGCCTGTTCCTAATTTTTGTATAATCTTCCCTGGAGTGCCCTATTTTGCGCATCAGATCTGTAATTATAATAGTTATTCTATTGTATACCCTAAGTAAACTTGCATCATGGATCTGTATCTGTCACCCTGCTTGCTTGGAATCCCCTTTGTAGACATCTTGACTTTCTTGCCTCCCATTGTGGACACCCTGACAGCATTTAAACAAATATATTTAGCATTGGATGTTTAACTATGAATACAAAAAGAGAAGATCTGAACAAATTAATTGATGTCAGCCCCACCTGATAGACCAGGCCAAGAATCAAATCCATAGGAAGGCCATGGCTCCTTTATTTTTATTTTATTTTTATTATTTTTTGAGAGTGGCTACAATAAAAAAAATCTTGAAAGTTTGATTGTGTTCCCCCCTCCCTTCTTATAACTATGTGAATTAAGGAGATGCCTATCTGAGCCTCTTCTGCATATTTCCTGCTTGTTTTCTATGTGTTTCATAACATATCCTGCCTATCTTGGATTTCCCAAAAACTAAATATTCCATTTTTGGTCAATTAATAAAGAGCAAGATTGTTTCAGACATATTTTTAAGCTTTATTTTTAAAACTTTATTATTAAGGACTATTTTTAAACCTTCAGAGATACAAAAATGATCTTTCTTACCTGAAAATGCCTTGGTACAATAGCAAGTGTTTTGTTAAAATCTAAGATGCATTTAGCTTGTTGGAGCTGCATTCTGCAAAGCCCTCGCTGATAAAATGCATCTGCATATCGTGGATATAGCCTGACAGCAGAAGTAAAAGCATCGCAGGCCTAAAATGATTCAACATTAGATTTAATTGAATCATGCTTCTACAAAATAAACAAAACACCAAAACCTAGAGAAAATTTCCTCTGTTTTTCATATTTCATTTTTATTTCAGTTGTAGAAAACAAATTGGTATTTTAGTTCCAATCCCAATCTTCAGAGAAAACGTAAACATATTTTAAAACTTTAAAACTGTGATATTATATAAAAATAACAATCAATACAATGTAAATATATTACTATAATAATGTATATTACTGTTTGAGTACTATACATTGAGTTGAGAATATATGTTGTCTTCACTTAACGACCGTCATAAATACATGCAAGTTGAAATGCAACTGAATGGTTAGCACAGTGGTTCTCAACCTTTTTAATGCCGCGACCCCAACCGGTCGTAAGACGAGGACTAAACTGGTCGTAAGTCGAGGACTAAACCGGTCATAAGTTGAGGACTAAACCGGTCGTAAGTCGAGGACTACCCAACCGGTCGTAAGTTGAGGACTTTCCCTGCCCGGGAGCGCCGCGCATGCGTGGTTCCGCCCCCTGGGCTGGCCGAGGCGTAGCTGGCAAGCGGCACAGACGGAGCAGGCCGACCACCAGCTGGCCCAGCCCAAGGGAGGTAAGGCACCCGCCGGAAAAGGGGGGGAAAAATGGTGAACATAAAAATGGCGGACAAAAAAAATGGCGGACAGCCTTGCTTGGCGACCCCCATGAAATGGTTGATCGACCCCAAATGGGGTCCCGACCCACAGGTTGAGAACCACTGGGTTAGCACATCACCATGCCGTGAGGGGTTATAAGTTCAAGAATTGGTCATAAAACTACTTTTTCAATACTGGTGTAAGTTCAAACAGTCATTAAACAGGCAGTTATTAACTGAGGGCTCCACATAGATACCTAAATAATATAGGTGTATGTTGTGTGTGTATATATAAAAGAAAAACACTTAAATAACTGACATTGATTTTTTGTGAAATCAAATACATGTATCTGTATGCAATAGTGGCTATATCTGTAGCTTGGGTGTAGGATGAGGGTGAAGGTTCATCCTCCGAGCTTGTGGGTTGGTTTCCGAACTTTTCAGAAAGTAGATAAACAGAACACTGACACTGACATCCCCTAAACTCCACTGAAAATGTTAGCCTGATAACAAAATGTTCAGAAACCCACTCCACAAGCAAAGAGAACAAACCTTCACCCTCACATATATCCAGGGCTTTTTTTCAGCCGGAACGCGGCGGAACCGCGTTCCGGCACCTTTTTCCGGGCCGGCCGCACCGGGCGCAACATCTGGGGGGG